TGAAATTCTCAAAAAATAAATTATGTATCATTTTTACCACTGCTCCAAAGGAAGGGCTAAGTCCCCAGGGTTTTATCAACCGGGAAGCGTGATATCTTGGCCATCTGTATAGTTTGCATTTATAAAATATTATTTATTCTAAACATATTTTATTACTTAATTTGTGATTGTTTTATAAATAAACAGTTTAAGTGATAGATCAACTTTGTATGGATTTTTCAATGGATATTTAATTTCACAAACATTTGAGTATCTACTATGTAATCTATTTATTATAAATTTAAGTTGTTATGAATATACCTAAATATAAATGAAACCAGTTAAAATGCTGAACTATTTTCTGGCATGTTAATGAGACTACATTTTTTTCACAACTAAATTTTATGTATTATATAATTGCATGCTGCTCTACAAGACATTTTATAATTAGGAGAGCCTAACAGAGGCCCCTATTAAAGTGAAATGTATTCAGACAACAGTAGGTTAAGTCTTTGTCATGTGAATTATTTGTATGTTGATAGCAAATTTTAATACCACATTCTGACTTTTAAAATGGTGGCAGTTTACAAATAGCTATTCCTAAATGCCTGATAATAACTGCAAAAGGAAATAAGATGGCATCACCAGTTGATTATTAAATGCACTCAAACCACAAGACAAAGTTGTCTGTCTCAAAATACACATTAAATATCTTATTTTCTCTTCGTTTGCTCACTTAAAAATCAGGAAGCTAGTTAGAACTTTAAGAAACAGTAAGTGATATAGTAGGATCACTGTTTCATTCTTTTCAAGAACGGTTGCCATGCAATCATCTCCTGTCTAATACATAGCATATCATGAACTCAGCTTTAGACAAATCAGTATCATAAGCAGTGTAGAATACCATTGACTATTTAACACTTGAACAATCAGTAACATTTTAAAATTTCAGGTGAAGGATTCTAAGCACCAAACACACCCGGTAGCCAATATGAAGTAACTTGCAAAGAAAAAATATTTTTAAAAAACACTTGGAAATTTGAGCTATATCTTTTTGGAGAGAACTTGTGAAAATTAATAATTTAAGAAAATATCAGGTCCGGTGTTTTAATAGATCATTTTTATACTAGGTGATGGTGTCTGAGGTGTGGAAACACTTCTTGGGGGGTTTAAAGAAACTCACTCTCCTTATTTCTTTTCAGTAGCTATTTAGAAAATAAATTTTATCTACATTTGATATTTCAGAATTAATAACCCAGGTTTTATGTTTTATGAGCATAAGCAAGCAAACAAGAGATTCTCAAACTCCATTTCTTTTATTTTAATAAATTCATGAAATTACACAACTCTTCATGGGAGATAGGAAACTGAGTTGTGGGGTGAATTTTCTACAAGTTTTACTGGTTATATTTTATTGATCAATTTATCCTACTTTTGGGCCCGTTTAAGATATTCCATCATAGAAGCTCAATTTTTAGAGGTCTTCTTCTACTTTTACCTACTAGGACTTTCTTTCCTGCAATTGAGCCTTTCAGACCCCACCAGGTGGGTCTTCCCCAAGCACTCTTTCACCAAAAATAAAGTTATATAAAGAGGAGACATGGATATTTTAAAATATTCTTGTAAGAGCACTTGAAGAATTCTCCCGTTTTCTCTTCTTTCCTAGGTTATGAAACTTGGAAATCCCGAGATTGCCAGGAGACTACTACTTAGAGGTGCTAATCCCGATTTGAAAGACCGAACTGGTTTCGCTGTCATTCACGATGCAGCCAGAGCAGGTTTCCTGGACACTTTACAGACTTTGCTGGAGTTCCAAGCTGATGTTAACATCGAGGATAATGAAGGGAACCTGCCCTTGCACTTGGCTGCCAAAGAAGGCCACCTCCCTGTGGTGGAGTTCCTCATGAAGCACACGGCCAGCAAAGTGGGGCATCGGAACCATAAGGGGGACACCGCCTGCGACTTGGCCAGGCTCTACCGGAGGAACGAGATCGTTAGCCTGATGGAGGGAAACCAGGCTGAGGGAGCTTCAAATTTGCAATGAATGTGGGGAGGGCTCTCCCACACCGCCTTCTGTTTTGTCAGTTAATTGGTTGGCTGTCCTATTTTACTATCACTTGTTAAAATTCAGTTTTGTCATATTTTAAGCAGCTAGTTAAATCTTCTCAGACTGCAAAGTGGAAATCTTATTACAGGTTTATGAATATATTTAAGCAACATCCTTTTCACCTGCAAAATCCTGAGTTCTAACATGTAATTGCAAATAGCTTTGGCTTTCTCCTGAATATGTTATCTTGCCTTGACTTTTTCCTTGCTTCTCCCTTTGCCAGTCTCAAAACCCAGCTTAAGAGATTTTATTTTAAAAATGGTTTGTCCTGATGCTTCTTTTGCCTAATTAAAACACTTTTTCAAAACAGGACAATGTTTTTCTGTGATTTCCACTCTATTACCCCCACATAGTTTGCCACTTGCTAAGAAGTGTACTAAAAGATCACAATGTTGTAAGTCTCAACATTAGAAAAGTAGACCAAGTAAAAAGCTAGACATATTCTACTGATGATTGAGTTATTCTTTCTTTCCTCATGCCTCCCTCCAAAGATTTTACTTGGCGCCTCGTATTTCTCTTTACAACAAAATAAGGACAACATTTTTTGAAGAGCTGAAATTATTGCAATGTGAATTTTTCCTAATGTTCAATCTTCCCCTTTTCTCAAAGTTAAGATAATAGTTGAAAAACGGGTTTCAGAGGTAGCGATCTGAAAACAAATATATATTAGCTCTAAAAGTCACTTTTAAAGTACCACCGTAAAAGTGCTTCCCACTAGTTGTTTTTTTTAGATCACAAAGTGAAACAATTGGTTAAATAATACATTTCCCAAAATTATACCATAAGTATACTATCACATTTTTTCTCCCTGCATGTCAGAAATGTAACATTACAAAATGTTAAGTCTTAAAACATAACGCAAATACAAATTTTTAGGGGATAAAAAGTGCAGCAAGAAAAAAATATATAAATTACATGTAAGGGTCTTAACTAATTAATTATATATACATGTAAGTGTCTTAACTGCAGTATAATAAATATAGAAACTTTTACAATCAGTAAATAGGCCACTCTTATATATGGTACTTGATTTCCACAAAACTTTTTAGTAAAGGCTTATAAAATCTTAAGACTACACTTAGCTAAAAACAAAAAAAAATTGAAATAGAAATATCAAATTTCCAAGAGAATTGTCCAGCATCTACTACTTACTTTAATTTTAATTAAAGATTTTCACCAAAGGATTTCAATGCCGTTACCATTTATAAATTTATAAATACTTTATTCATCATCTCTGACATGAACAAAGATGTTTTATGTGAAAGCTCTCTCCTTCTGCTGTATAAGCTCCCTGCCTGCCTCCAAAAAGAAGAAAATACTTTAAGGTTTATTGAAGGACATGGTTCTGATGCCTGCCCTAACAAGGATTGGAATGGTCGCAGGCAAGTGGTTTTCAATAATTTATTTTCCGTGATAGTATAAAAGAATATAGGAGAAAAAGTTTTATCCTTTTCACTTATCACTAAAGTTCACCTTCCTTAAGTTCAGTAAGACTTCGACTTCTGCCACCCCTAACCACAAATTACTGATTAATTAATTTTTGACAGCAACATGAAATTAAATTAAAAATATTAAATTTTAAAGTTTAGAAAAAAGTAGAAATTGGGATGTTTTGAAGGAAAAGTGTTGTGTTTTGAATTTTAAAACCAGAATCAGTATACAAAATACACTGCTTGGGAAAACAATACTTTCTAAACACAAGCTTATTACTAAAAAATAAAAACAACCCTTTTTACAAGTTGCAACTGTAAAGATGGACATTTCCAAATTTAAAGTGAAGTTTAATTAACTTTTCAGTATCCAAGTTTTAGCATTAAAATTACTCTTTAGAGATTTCAAATCTAGAGGCATAGGGTGTCTATAAAGCTGAGAAGTACTTCTACAGTTGCTTTGTTCTTAAGTGGTTGGAGCACATAAGGGGAGTGGGAGCTCTCTCGTGCTCTCTTCATTAGCCTAAAATTTGCTAAGCATTAAAACATCGGCACATTTCTTTGGCTCTTTGCAGGAAATAGCTTTACTAATCTAAGTATTTTAGAAATGAGTTATGTGGTCCCCCTCTAGGAAATATGAAAAGCCATTATTCAATCTCTCAAAAACCTCGACAATATTCAGCAAGGCTTTGAATGTATACGATGTATACGATGGAAGAGAAGGTGCTGTTGAGTTTAATGGGATCTAATCTGTAACGAGCTGAGGTAGAGAAGGGTCTGAACTTAATTCAGATACCGAGAGGAGCGGCAAGCGCAAATGGACAGAATGATCAGAATCCCAGGAGACAACGCTATGTAAAGGATGGAGGATACTTAAGCAGGGATGCGCTGTCAAATTCAGTTCTTCACTGCATCCGCATCCACTTCTGGAAACTCGGGCTCAGCCTTTGCCCGGTAAATTGAATTCAAGCTTATACGTGGGGGACACTAATCGCACCTCAGGCCACATTCTGGTCCTTGAGCCACTGAGCAAACCTCATTTTGCCATCTTTCGGTAGTGAATCAATAGTTTTCTGATAAACATTACGCATCTCACAATGGGGTGATGAGCTCCTACACACACACCACCCTGGGTGAGTAATAAATAAATAAAATCTAAAAGCAATTCAATTGGTAATATTATAAATTTTCCTGATCATGAAACGAACGTTGTGGAATCCGTAGCCCGGGACTGGTTTCGAAATCTCAGTTCCCAAAAAGGTGCTTTCGGCTTTTGCCGGGGGGTAAAAGTAATAGTCCAGAAGCGCTGGAAGATCACAGTGCTGGAGCGAGAAAGGGTCGTACCGTCAGCTTTCCTGACTGCCCTAAGCTACCTTCATCGAAAGACTCCGGCGGGGGGGAGGGGAGGAGGGGAGTCCCGGTCTTGCTATCTCGAGACTGTTTTGATTTTACACGGCAGTTCCAAAAAAAAAAAAAAAAGCAGATCCACGGAGGGACCTACTCAGAGAGGCAGGAGACAATCTTCAAGCCTGAGACCCGGAATAAAGCTCTGCCCATTGCCAACCTAAGCCAAGCCGTCTATGCAGGGGCTGCGAAGACATCCTTTCTGTCCCTTCGAAACTCTCCAGACGCCAACGGCAGCTCCGGCTCCCCAGTGAGGAAGCTGAGCCCAGAGCTCCCTCAGGGCGCGCAGAAAAGCCCGGCGTGGGGGTGGGGGAGTTTCAAAACCGTTAGCTCGCGTTTTTTTTTTTTTCTTTTCCCTCCCTCGCTAAGGTTTCTTTTCTTTTCTCTTCCTGTCCAAATATTTCAAATTTCCGCGCCTTAAATAACAGTCTCCTTTTATTTAGTTAGTTTCCTCGGCAGGTTTGGCCGCCCGCTTGTCTCTGCCCCCCATCGGGCCCGGGGCGTCTCGGGCGCCTCGGTGCTGCCTGCAGCCCCTGCGCGCTGCCCCAGGCCCAGGCTGCGTGGCTCAGAGCGCGCCAGCCGGAGCCACAGCCCCCTCTTGCCGCGACCTCGCCTGACCCGGCTCTCCGGGCGCCCAGAGCCAGCTAAGGCCGCCCCCCGCCCGGACGCCTGTCTGCCTCCCAGCTCGACTTCCCTCCCCGGACTTTGGAGCCTTTTCTGCTTCGGGGTTTGGATCCCGGTCGCCCGGGAGCGGCGAAAGGGCCGCGGCAATAGGAAAGCAGCGGAGAAAGCCAGTGGCCGGAGCCTGCCCCAGCCCCCACCCCGCGGGTAACCTTGGAGGCGCCCTCGGAGTGAGTGTGTGCGTTGCTGCGCCAGCCGGCTGGGGCGAGCGGGTGCACCGCTCAGCGGGCAGGAGGCGGGAGCTGGGGGCGGGGAGGGGGAGCGGGCCCCGGCGCCTGCCGGCCGCTGCCACAACGCCCCGGAGCTGCGGGCTACCGGGGCGGCCGGGGTCCCTCGGCCCTGGCCTTCAGGCAGCGGTCCCTGAGGAGGCGGCGGCCATCCCACTGGATGGTCCCGGCGACCTGTGCCTGAGGACTGGGGCGGGAGGGCGACGTGGGAGCAGGGGCAAGCGGGCCGGTGAGTGCCTAGCTTTCCGTGGAGGTGAGCTGGCGGCGGGACGCGGCGCGGCGGCTGGAGCAACTCCACGCCCAATGCCAATGCCAGCACTCCCTCCTCCTCCCCCCGTGACAGCTGAGGACAGCCGGGCTCCGAGCCTTGCGTCCAACTGCGAGGAGGCAAATGTACCTCAGGCTTCTCAGCCCCTTAGACTATTCGGGAATTTGCCCTGTGGTGTTGCCTTCTCCCCCCCGCACCTCCCCCATAAACTAGTAGTCGTCCAGGACTGAAAATGCACGTTCTTTCGGAAAGACCCTCGGCGCGAAATACAGAGATTGCAGGCCCGCCGGCACTTTGGGTGGGGCCCGGGCGTGCAGAACACCTAGAAGGGGTCTTCTTGTTCTGTTTTTACCCGGAATAGATCCGAATATCGAGTATGGATCTTCAAGCGGTGTCTCAAAGAATAAAAACTCTCCAGATCTGGATATTGACTTGGTAAATTAAGGTTCCAGTGAAATGTTTTGCCATCTGTTACAGAAACATTGTGCAAGCTTCAGGTGTTAGGATGTGGGTTTGGAATTTTCTGTAGTGTCTTTAATTCCCAAAGACATGAAATAACAGCATGGTAACACACCCGGCCAGTGAGCAAAGGTTATCCTTGCCACCACAGCACCTGCAAAAGCACAAGTGGAACTCACATATTTTGCTTCCTGAGTTCTAAAATGGCTTCTGAACGGTCCAGAGGTACCAGCACAGACAAGGAGGGGGACAGGAGACGGGAAAAGTGTTTGTACATTAAAACAACAACAACAAACTACACTGCCATTATTACACTTCAGTTAATCCACCTCACCTCTCTTTCTCCCAGCCCTCATCCTCATTGGTCAAGGAACAATTTTAGTGTAGGCCTATTCTATAATTCTGTGTACAGCCTTTATCTCTTTCTCACCCCCTCCTCCCCCCAAAAAACCAGTCGGCCAAAAATATCAGCTCTTTTGCGGAGGAAGTAAAAAAACCACCAATCCTTATCCAAACTACCCGTCATTTCTTTTGTGTACTAAGAAGGAATCCTACATATAACCAATACTATGAAAGAAGAAATGATTTACCTGGACCTCAAACACATTTAATTGGTATAATTAAAGTGATATTAATTATCTTTTAACATGAAAATAATGGGACAGTTTCTGGAATTGATAGGTGAAAAGCTAAAAAAATCACCGACATGTTTGGAGACGCAGCTTCTGTTCTTCTTTATATTTAATCAGTACAGTAGTTACTTAGGGAAAAAATAGGTCCTTTATCTTGACCATATAAAGCAATATCATGCTAATTTTATTTTAGTTATATGCCTTAGTTTTTCAGATTAGTTATATATAGTGATAGTTCACTATAAAGCAAAACTGACAACTTCTTATAATGTTAAAATTTTAATTTGGAAATGCAACCAAATTATCACAACTGTATTAAAATACAGTCTACTCCCCTGTTTCTTCTAAATGTACAATGTGCACAACTCACTGATAAAGAAGTCTGCCCTGAGTTTAAAATTTATGCTTTGGAAACATAATTTCCTAAATTAAAAAATAACTCACTGATCTTTAAGAATAATTATTCTATAATTTGGCTATTCTGTGTATAGCTAATACAACAGTATCTCCCTGTCTTACATTTTGGAACTATTGTAAAAGCCATTTGGGCCCAAATAGTTCTTGTTCCATAGTTTTCTCCTTCAGATTTTTTACTAAAAAGTGACTGTCAATGATGCAACTGATGTCCGTTCTGATGTCCATTCTGCTAATCCAGAAACTTCAGACCAAACCTATACAGGCCATTTTAAAAGGAACATGCATTTCTTCTATGTCAAAACTTAGGAAAGATATGATTGAATGTTAACATTTGAAAGTCCTAGAATAACTAATTTGCAAATCAGTTATTATAGTGTAGTGATGATTCAAGATGAAATTTTTAAAACTTCATATTTTAGGAGAATAAGTGAGTTCAAATTATTAAAGTAAGCAACATTTGATGATGATTAATAGTATAGTATTTCCTATCTCAATACTCAAATAAGCAACAGTGTGTATTCTGGTATGATTTTTAACTGTCAAGATAATAATATATAATAATCATCATTAGATATAGGAGTAATGGTTCCAGAGTCTCTTTTCCACTGCTAAGTAAAATGTAATTAAAACATAGTGCTCTTTTTAAAAAACACTTCACTACATAATCACCTATATTTTTGGCTGGCCCTTTTTTTTTTTTTTTTTTTACTTTTTGTATTTTTTTGCCTCCACATTTTAGGTGATGGACAAAAATAGCATGTAGAAAGAGGTTTCCAATTCTCTTTTATTCCTGTTTCCTCAGCCATCTATTTCTCTATTCACAAACATTACTTCAACTTTAAAAATCATATATTGTGACGTTAAAAAGTAATTGTTATTCCCATTAATTTAAATTTATCATAGGCCTATAAGTGAAAAAGCACTCAATCTGTATTTTATTTAAAATAAAGTGAAAAAAGTGTGGATATTACGTTGTAGCAAGTGTGTATTTATGTTTTGAATATAAATTTCCTGGAATCTTAAAACCTATTTAATATTTTGACATATGCTAAGACTTTTAGTGCAGGATCAAGATCTAGAAAATCTTAAATTTCTGGTCTTCAGAAAATAATATATTTTAATTTGCCATATTAAGATAAGACCAGTTGTTTTAACAATAAAAAGTTAAAATGTTGATAGAGAAAAATATGAAGGTACAAAATATCATTGTACCACCATGATATCAAATCTAATGCAATGGCTTTTTTAAATAAATTATTCTCTACTGGTAAATTGTATATTTTAATTATAGTGGTCACTACTTTACAGTTAAATTTTGCACTTGGCACACGGACCAGAGTTTTCTATGTTCATCTAAAAGCATATGGTTGTTATCATGCAGGTATTCAAAGTAATACTTTGTAGTCTTGTCCTATATGGGTATTTTTATGTACATGTGTGCATGTTTAGATATTTCTTACTAAAGTTCACTACTGAGCAAATAGATATTTTGAACAAATACTATCAATTCACTTTATATTATAATTTTAAGATGTAAAATCATGATCTGCTATAGAAATGTTAGCTGATAATTTTTTAGATATAGGTGAAATCATTTTCATTAATGATCCAGGGAAGGATATAAATTAAAATCTGAGAACTTAAAATACTGATGCAGGTCCTAGTTCTTCCTAGGTTATTGTTTCAAATTCCTGTCATGAGGCAAATGTATATGAAAGCAACTTAACATCCACAATTAATATAATCAAATTTGAAATAATAGAAATAGAATTGTGATAGTGACAAGAGGAAGAATGGATACTTAAAATGTGGGTAGCCATGACTGTAGGTTAATTTAATTTCAATTACATGATAGGCAATTTGCTAACTAATCCAAAAGCAAGGACAAAACAAGACTAGTAAAAAGACATCTGCCCAAGAATTCAAAAGCAGGGCAAACAAGATCAAAATTTTCTTTTCATTGTACCACCATAGGAAATATAAACAAGTTAATTTTCTTGGTATGGATAAGTTTCCAGTTTCCAGTGAAGTTTTCTACTCTTTCACTTGCTTAATGCTCTTAAAACATATAGCTAGAAAATAACCACTTACTATTTACAGTCATATTTTAAAATTACGTATATATTATGTTTTACTTAAATACAACAGACACATATTCTGTCCCAAAAGAGCAAGTTCAGCACGATTCTGAAAGGGAGAGTGATACAGTTGGACATCTGGACTAAACTGAGGGGCTGTTTAATGTGAAACCCAAGTAGGGCCACATGGGAGAGAGCACTGAATTGACTGAATGCTGGCTAATTTGCTTAAGAGTAATCAAAAGGGCTCTGAGCCTAGTATACATTGTCTATAGTTGTTTAAATACACAATGTACCTACTAGAAAAGCAAATAACTTTATTCAAAGACACTTCAAGGAAGAGGTATATATTTTTTTGCATCCAGAAGGACATCACAGATGTCACAGGGAAAATATTAATGTAGCAACATAAAAGAGAACTGCACATAATAACATCAGCTGAAGATCAATGATTGGTTTCAATTTCTTAAGAAAGTCTTATGTTTTAAAGATTTAAAATGCACAGTTCTTCAGACATATGACTTGCATCTATAAAATACACAACACAAACTTAATATTCTAATTTTTAAAATTTCCACAAAAAAGTACTCCAAGATGCCTTTTAGTTCATCAGATCCTATTGAAATATCATGCACCATATCCTAAGATCAGCAAGTAAATGCTGTGGCTTATCAACGTAAAAGAATTTTAAAGATCAGTACTTTCTAAGGAAAATGTCCTTCTTGAATTATTAGGATGAAGATATGGAAATTTTTAGTAGCACATTTTGTCTTCTACAAAAAAAACCCCAGATTATATTTAGGATCAATGTAAAGTTAATTTGACATTTCTAAAGTAAAATAATATTTTATATCATTGTTTTAAGTTTAAATATATAGAATTTAAACAAAAGAACTCTGTATGGCCGTTGCGAGGTTTCTCTTTATTCAGCAACAGAATAGACAGAAGAGAAATTAAATCAAAACATAAAATTCAGACATAGAATTCAAATTATAGAATAACAGTCATATTAAATCAACCAAGAAAAATTTTCTCACATCATAATCTTGTTTATTTGAGGAAAAGAACGTAAGAAAAAATATTTAAATC